AAATTGACTCGAAATAAAAAACACTTCTAAATGCCTACTTAAACAATTTTTAAAATTAATTTTCTCAAAACTGCTGTTTCGTGTTAAAAAATTCTATTTTACTTTTCTGATTCATTTTTGCATTTAGAATTATTCCATTCACTCACCGAGACACACTCTGGACACGAAAATAAACTAACTGAATAGATGTTAAAGAAATGAAATATTTCATTTTACAGCGAGCTTTAATCATTCATCGATAGCAAACGAAAAGAATTATCAAACTCAATTCTAATCGAAAAAATTCTATTTTACGTTTCTGATTCGTTTTTGCATTTAGAATTATTCCATTCACTCGCTGCGGGGCATTCTGAACACGAAACAAACAGTTAAGTATTTCATCGATTTATTAATCTCTCAAGAGGGGCACTATGGAAAATGTTGCTCCTGTTGCTGAATGATGGACTTTCTGCTCTCTTGTCAATGGATTCGTATTTTAATCCTTTGAGTACAGAGAATAGCGGTCACGTAATCGGTAGTGATCCGTCAATAACAAGCGCTCTCTGACAAAAGCAAGAAATATATCGAGAACGGGTGTATTGTTTGAACAATGAAAGAGTGGATAGGAAAACCTGTTGCTAAGGAACAAACAGTTAATATGTACGATTCTAGATTACCTAGTCGATGTTTCTTTCCCTGGTATTTACGTCCACTTGCAACGTTTCATGAATTAAGGGTGTACACCGCCCGGAGGCGTCTAAAAATCGTTATTGTCCCTAATAGAACGAAGCAGAAACAGCGTATTTCGACGAAATAGCAGCCATTTGAAGCAAAAATATCGCGAAAGTTTTAACTTGTTCAGGCGATAAAGAAAAACTATCGCAGACATTGGCATAATCCTAGTACGGACGATAATGGGATATCTATTTTATGCGTATATGAAATTTCGGAGAGATTAGTCGATTCATTATTGAGAAATCATAGCAGTCGATTTGCAAAACAGGTTTCTTTTTGGAAATCACACAATCTTTTTTGAAATCATTATAACTTTGTCATTTCGTCGATTTCAGGAGTAGAATTGTGCCAACACATTTTCGAGATGTTATACTTTGATATTCCTAACTTAAAAATTGCAAGTTCCTGGCAACTCAGGACGACGCTTAATTTTACGACCTACATACAGCAGGACTCTCTAGAACGCGAGAGATACAAATTAAGTTCCACCCGATATCCTTTTTTGGACGCTGATACAGTTGTTTTCTTCGTCAGTTGATTTCCTTCAGCTCCACAATTTGCTTCTTTTTTTTCTGTTATACGGTGGCACTAGCAATTTATCGATCGCCTTACACAGCCCTTATTTACCGTATTTCTCAGTGTAAAATCAAACCGGCTCACGCTTCGAACCACCCCAGACAACTTATTCGTTATTAATTACACGCTGTTTGGCAACGGCGAGATGTTCGAGCGCAAGATAGCCATGAATCGTCATAAGACGTCAGGTTAGCCGCGACAGGAATTCCAGTCGGAGATATCTACCTGGGAACGATGTACAAGGCGGGCAGAAAGAACAGAGACGGTAGAGGTGGGACAGGGAGGGAAGGTAATAGGGGAACCCCGGTTCTAGCAGTGGTCGGTCAATTAAATCTCGTCGACGTCGCGTGCAGGAAGCGGGCGCAGCGTGCACCGGAGGCTTCCTTTCCGATTTCGAGTGGGTGGACCCTAACTCTCGAAATTTATTAGCCTGTGCGACCGACCAGCTAATCCGTAGCTAGGTAGTGTGCAACTATTACCCCCGTATAGCGTACGTCAACTGGCCGTGAGTGTGCTAGTCCTGGGCCAGGTGTGTCAGGCTAAACCCCCTTCGAAATCGAATAAGAACGAAGAACGAATAGGCCTGTTTCAGGGGTTTTGTGCGGAATTTCATCGCGAGCCTGCTGGCAGAGAGACGTGGCACGCGAGACTGTCGGAAATATGAATGAAATGTAAACAGGAGGGTTGAAAAGAGGGGCTATTGTCTTAGTTAGGGATTTTTAAGTGATTCAATTTTACGGAGTGTACCGATGTGTCTTTCTGTCAACCGAGATGACCCCTCTGGGTTTTCGGGGGGAAAGTTTCTTTGTCAGGGCTGCGCGAGTTTGTTGGATGTGTAGTGAGAGAGGGTGAGATGTTCTCGTGCTAATTGTGAATATTGACAATTGGAAGAATAGTAGGCAGAAAGGAGGATGTTAAAAAAAGGCCAATTTTGGCATACGGCCGGAACAAAAAATTTTCTACAGCATGATTCTACGCATCCTAAGGAACGAAAAATGTAATTGTCATTTTTCCCGGAAACGATGGGAAAGTTATGAAAAATGCGGTTCAAGATGACCATACTCATAACTTATATTCCATCTTCTTTTCTTTGGATGATGGTCTGTTCGTAAATTAACCACTTAGAAACTCATATTGAGTATTATTTACAAAGATTGTTGTACATTAGTGTTTAATAAAAACCAAAAATAACGAAAAATAATTAATGACAAATTAATCGAAACAAGGAATTCTTTGATGACACAATGCTTATATTCTAAGCAACTAATAATTATTTATTCTAGAAGTGATAAAAGTTATAATAAACTATGGTAAATATAATAAAATAATGGTCATGACAGGGATACAATAAAAAAGTAAGACTATAACAGAATTTGCATTTCTTAACTGTGTATCCACTATGAAAGCCAGAGGAAAAAGTATGACGTGATAAAGAAATTTTAAGTCGTGGATACTTCTTGTGAAAAGTGTAGAAAACTGCAGTCTGTATATTGTCGTTAGAATAATAACAAACGAAGTAGATCGTGTGTAAAAACTTGGTTGTTTACTAAGAGACAGTGTTTTTCCAGAAAAGGATAGAATATATATATGTCTCGGGGAGACAGCAGTAAAAAAAACTAATTTGTTGTTGTTTCATAGCTATAACACATCTTATTACAAGAAAAATAAACTTAGGATACGACAAAACGAAATTGTTGCAGTAATTCATCTAATTAGCTATACGTAGGCTCTCCTCTATTTGAATTAACTCAATCATTTGATTGTGTACGTATATATACACACATACATATTATTCACGCATACACATACTGTGAAACTGTAGCTGTTTAGCTCGCAGAG